TTCCCTTATCCACTTTAATGTCCATTTGCTGGAAGTGAAGGAAAATTCCAAATGATGGTATTTGCACAACAAAGGAACGTGAGGCTGAATGACAGATTTCACTAAAAGTTAAGCAGGAAGTTGCTAAAAGAAAAATCCAGCTTCTGCATTGAGGAGCACAATATTTGGAAATCTCTCTGAAGGAGGGGTTTTCTGTGCAAGCTTCCCACAGAAAGATAGCATTTAGATATACAATGCTTACTAAAAATGGCACAGCAGGAGCAATTACCTTAATGTGAGTTCCAGCCGGTGACCAAAAGCAGATAAAATGTCAGCTGACGTTTCTTTATGTAAGGCAGTTACAAAATCTCATGACGTATTTTCAGAGCTCCCTGGGATCAAATGTCCACCCTGGAAACACAAAGCAAATTGAGGCTGCATGGGGAAAAACAGGGGCTCTGCAAAAAATCCCAGGATCACGGGAGCAGGGAAGTTCATAGCTTCACTTTGGTAACAATTGCCAATAACAATTGCCAATAAAGAAAAYATCCTTTTCTTCAGTCAAGGAACAGTGAAAAATATTTTCCATTTTAATAGGTACAGCTTATATAGGAAAAAAAAATCCCGCAGATGAGTGTATCCAAACAAAGTCTCTGAAAAATTATTTGAAATTTTAAAAAGTTTTTTAAAATCCACAGATCTAATACAGAGCGCGGCTGCCAAAAGCTTATGTTTATCTAATAGCTCATGTTTATGGCCTTTCCCTTTAAATTCACCATAAAAAGGATTTAAAAGTCTCGTGACCTAAAAAAACCAATGGGACAGATCATAGTTAGGRTGAGATTTTCAGTCAGTCTCTGCCTCAAACTACCATATGGGATAAAAATGTTGTGCTTCATCCTGCATTCATCTACACTCCTTGGAAAAAGCTTGTCCTAGAGAGCTTCAAGCTGGGTTTAAGTCATTTAGAGCTTGTTTGTCAGGAACTAGTCAGGCAGGACCGAAGTTGTGACTACCAGGAGTGCCAATGAGGAAAGGAATCATCTTCTCCAATCCACTCCATCTGAACAAACAAAACATGGCTCTGAAAGCCATTTCTGCTGGGGTTTCATTCATTCCCTTTCATTTCAAATAATGGGAATTCAGTGTTCWATCACCTCCAAGGAAAGAGCTCAGCCTTGCTGTCCTTTGGGTGGAGACCCACATTTAAGCTGAGAAAAAAAGAGCAATTCTTGTGTTCATTTCCTCTCTGGTTTGGTGACCAAGTGGTTTCTCATGTCCCAAGCAGGGTGCAGATGCCCAGTAGTCACGGTATAATGCAGGTATCTGGCACAAAATTTGCAAAGCAAACAGGCTCACCGGGGGGAACCCAGGCACCATACAGCACTGCACAGGTGCCTCATTTCACATCTCACCTCTGCAGGTAAATCTGATGGAAAGTCACTCTTCTCATCTGTTTCATTACAGCCTTTGACCTGTAATTGAGTTTGTCAAGAACACCAGCGGATTAAAGCAAGAACTCAGAGACATGATTAAAAACAGGATTATGGAAAGGGTTTGCTGAGCAGGGTTTACTCTATGCAGATGTTAATGATAAAATTACAATCTATCATATTGGAAAGAATTGCTCAAAACTCTTACTGGCTTGCAAATAAAACATAAGCTGTGGATTTATGTGGCTTTCCAGCAGAAGTCCAAAGGGAAGTTGCTCTGTGAAGGGAAAAAAGGGCCTCAAACTTGCCCAGGTCTTGCCTAAGTCAGATGTAGATTTTTGTGCCACCCACCAATTTTTTGTACTTTTTTTTAATAATTCCAGGAATAAAAATAATCCAACCTGAAGCTGATTTGGATAACATGGTATGTTCCATTTCCTTAAAAAATGCTCAGTGTCCACAGGTACCCCCTGAGGTGAGCTCCCAGCTCACCCTCCTGCTTCTGGTCCCCCCTGTTTGTACAGCCTGTGTACAAACATTCCTTGACCATCACTGTCCATGATCTCTCCTCGGTACCATGCAGTCCAGCTCCCAGCTCTCACACCCTCTACATTCATATGTGCTTTTGCCTGGAACTGATTTGTGCTCCCAACAATTCCAATATCACAGTAGCCTGGTAACCCCATCAATGAGGAACCTTTTGCGATTTTCCTGGGGAAAATAAGCAAACTTCCCTTGTTTTCAAAGTAAGGAGTATGTTCATTTTCCAGCACAACTCAGGGTGCAATGAAACTGTGACCCGAGTGATCGCAGTGAGGACACAGCAGGAAGGGACAGAGGAGTGCAGCCCCGATGCCTGGCCAGGGTGATCCCACAAAAGCACAAAGCAATTTCATAATCAAACCCTTCTGTTAACATAGCTCTGAYACTGCAAAAGGCACAAACAGGAGCTTAAAGACACCAACTTCCCCCGAGGTCCTTCAGTTTTCAAGAACGTTTTGGGAACACCCAGGATTGTTATTGTATCTATGGATGATCAGATTCAGAGTGTGCCAGCTTCAGTATCCAAACTATGATAGCAAACTGCAGATCGAGCTCCTTCTGCCATAAAAGAGCAGCAAAAAGGCACAGWGTGAGCTACCAGGAAACTACTGCACTAGAAAACATGAGATTGCCAGTCACAAAGGGAGGGAAAATATTTCAAACACATTAAAAAGGCTCAAGGTTAAATTTGGTGCTAGTTCAGCTGGGTTTTCATGAGCCAGTGCAAAATGGAGCAGCAGCTGTGCAGAGGGACAGCACTTTCCCYGCTGCCACTCCACCTCCCCTTCTGGTGGCATTACTGCAGCATGTCAGTCAGTTATCGGTCACTGGATCTTCTGTCCTGAACCCTTGCCTTGGAAAAGTGGAAATGTGTGCAGTAAAACCTAAAATAGAAACAGGAACAGCTTCAGGGAATTGCCTCCTCCAGAAATGTCAGTGAATGCAAAAAGGCTGAGGATGACGAAGGTTCTCTATTCCACGGGCTGCTTTCACCTGGGCCAAAGGATACCTCAAGGTAGGAAGGGGAAATAGCGCTAATTCTTTGCAAAGATGGTTTCTATGTTAAAATAAAAAAGGGCACTTAGTTGACGTGTAAAATCTCCACCTGGTGGTGAATTCTGCCACAGCAAACTTCCATTTCTAAGAAAAATTCCCTTTCCAACATAAAACCAGTTCTTCACCCAAGACAATCCCAAAGCAAAAAGYGGGGAAGGGCAGCCTTCAGGAAAGCCGCACTATTTTATCCCCATGGTTTTTCTTGGAAAGCTGAAGAATCCCTTCGCTTATACTGCAGCTGGCAGGCACACRAGTGACCTTCCCCAGCCAAATCAGATTTGGGAGAACTCATGTCACACTCTATTGCAGGGCTGGGTGGAAGGTCAGGGGTGGTGACTGGTTTTCCAGATGCCAAAGTACTGCTTCCCAAGGGGAAACATCCTCTCCAAAGGCTGGAGTTTCTTGGTTTACATATTGGTTAATTATAACAATTGAAAACTTTAAGCATATCAGTTTTCTKTATCTCTAGGGTCCTCTAACTCACAGCACAGTTACTTTCGTATTATCATTTTAGGGGTAATTCTGGCTGCACACAATTAGTTCAGGTTTCCCCTGAACGTCACTGGTTCCATGCCCTAGAAACATTTCCTGGATTGACATTTTCCGATGCACTTCACTGAAACACAGCGTCTCACTTGCCTGCACTTTGCAGTAAAGTCTCATCACGTGACAGCACYCACAAATTCTTCGTGAAATGGAACAAAACCAGTGTCAGATGGACGCATGAAACGCGTGGAAATGTGTGCAGACCCTTGATGTGCGGTGCTGTGCGTACTACAGCCTGATCCACCGGATAACCAGTGTTCCAAATTAACTGATTTGGCTCATGCAGGAACAAAATATCACTTTTTTTTTACACTTGAAAAGGCTGAGCAAGGCATGGCTGTGGCCACAGTCCCCAGTGGCCCTCAGTTCAGCCAGGAGCAGGCTGCTGACAACTAACCTCTGCCTAAGTGCATGAGCCAGCCCACGGTGGCTGCATGCAAATATATAAATAAATATTATCTGCCTTCTCTTGATTAAGCAGCCTTTCGTGCACCAGTCCAAAAACATCCAGGATAACCCACTACTGATGTACACAAATTACTCACTGACCACGATCTTTGGGGCCAAAAATAGGAATGTTTGAATTGGCCAGAATCCACTTTGTCAAGTCACTGATTGGCAATTCAAACAGCATCCACCTCACAGCCTGTCTCCATTGAAGAATTAATCGGTTATTTTTTTTTTTTTGGTGTTTAATGCTGGCCTGGAGGATGAAAGTGTGAGCAGTGGCAGGCCGGCAGCAGCTCCTCACTGCGGGGTTGCACAACYCTCATGACATCCTCCTGCTTTCATCATTTGGCCTCACGCAAGGGAGAGTAAAAATAGTAGT